TTGTAGTTTGAATGTGTTACAATAACATAAATGTAGCTGAAAAAGCATACTTACTCTGAATACTGATTTTTGCCCTGAAGTGTGTTAGCAGGCAACCACTGCTTCCCATTACCAGTTTGTTGAACACTAGCTGAATGACTGTAGAAACTCCTTTGGAACAGGAGTGGAGGAATGCAGGAGTGACTTGAGGGTCTGGGTTTGTCATCTGTTGTTTAATTATGTAATTTAACTTGGCACCAGTTCTGACAAAGTTTATTCCAGTGTACTGGCTTGGCCGTTAACTCACCCAGCAGAATACAGACTGTTAGTTTGACAGTAGTCAGAGAAAGCCTAGTGGGTGTCTACGTACAGTCTGATGGAAAAACAGTGCCAGTCAGAATATGTCTTTTTAGCATCTTTCTGTGCTTAGGATTTTGGTCTATGTGGGACTTCAGCAGATCTGGTTTATTTGTCTTTCTGGAATAGTGCTTTATCTGCAGTTCTGACTAGTGACTTCTGGTTGTCTAACATTTTAGTAATGCATAATGCTTTCAGGTTGAGGGCTTGCATTCAAGCTGCTAAGAGGCATGACTTTGGACTAGGAAGTTGTTGAAAATGTTTTTGATACAAATGAGACAATTATTACGCTGTAGAAGAAACAATTGCTGCAGTAATTGTGCTGAATTTTTCAGAGAAATGAGCTATGCTTCAGGGGCTGTGCCAAACTGGGTCATGAATTTCATAACAGTAGACTTCGCAGATCAGCAGGCCAGAAAGCTGACACTAATGCTGAATGAGCATGGGAAGAAATGTTTGTAAAAATGAAACAAGGCTGACTTCAAGTTTTGTGCCTTAGTCTTATCTCTCTTCTAGCAGACAAACAAAGCACTAAGTGTTCAGAATAGCTACTGGCACCTCAATGACTAAACAAGGATAACTCTTAACATAAACTGTGAAGCTGAGAATAACTTTTGATATCCTGTATGGTCTTGAATTGACACTTCAGTAGAAATTGAAAGTTTGACACCTTAGAGTTGTCTCCTTCTACCAAATTCTTGCCTAGTGATAGCCCATGCTTCAGCAGCTGTCTGACTTAATGAAAACCATCTATCCGTGGTAGATGGGGACAGTAGGACATGCAGAAACCCTTTCTACTGATGGGAAATGATCTGCTCAAACAGGGTAATAATCCTTAATGAGTGGTGTGGTTTAAATCTGGCTGGCAGCCAAGCACCATGCAGCTGCTAGCTCACTCTCCCCCACCTCAGGGAATGGGAGAGAGTTGGAGAGGTAAAGGTCAGGAGACTCATAGGTTGAGGTAAAAACAATTTAATAATTGAAATAAGATAAAGTAATAGTGATGATAATAGTAATAATGGAAGATGAGTAACGCACAGTGCAATTGTTTACCATCTGCTGACTGATGCTCAGCACATTCTTGGCTAGTGGTTCCAGAGAAGGGAAAATCCTGAAGCCACAATCCTAGAAGCAAGAGCGAGCTTCCTAGTCAACCCTCATCTATATACTGGGCATGTGTGATAAGGAATATTCCATGGGCCAACTTGGGTCTGTTCTGGCTATACTCCCTCAGAGCTTCTTGTGCACCTGCGCACTAGCAGGACATGAGAAGCTGAAAAGTCCTTGATTTCTTAGCAACAACTAAAAACATCAGTGTATTATCAGCATTCTTATACCAAATCCCATACTGAATCCAAAACACAACACTATTTTATCTACCAAGTATAAAAATTTAGCTATATCCCCAGCTGAACCCAAGACAATGAGAAAGGGGACCTAAAATGTAAATAGATTAGGCAGTATAAAACAGGATTCTCAAATTGCTTTTTTTTATAATCCTTTCTAACAGCTGCATATATGAAGAATGCTGATCTATCAGTACTAATTTCTAGAGGAATGAGAATTACTGCTGTTTCTAGATTTTGGGAAATACAATGTTTAGGAGTTGATCTCAGCAGGTAGCTCCAATTCATATCCAGACCAAAGGACAGGGGACACACACTTTCCTTTAGCATGTGGTTGTCAGGTTGTGACTTAAGCCTTTTAAGGGTGTGCCAGAATGTTCCCATTACATTCAGTTTGCACATTTCTAGTGCTTATCAAAATTGGAGAAGAGTTTTCAACTCTTAAGGGAAAACAAGTACTCTAACTGTCCTTTTCTCCAACTTGCTAGCTGGGCTAGAATGTCAAAAGTTCAAAAGGGAATGTAGAAGGTAAAATGAGCTCAATTGGTACTTCTACCCCCACATTGTACCTGTAAGCCTGATAAATTGTTTAGAGATTAACTTTATAGACTTCATGCCTGGAAACATGAAAAGAGTTTCTGAAGACCTGTGAACTCATTGGCTTTTAGCTGCTTTTATTCAGTTCTAATCCCTCTTGTAAGTAACTTGAGAGGAGAATGGAATATTTTCTGCAGGTGAGAGCCTGTATGTTAAATATTGTAAAGGACTTTCTCCCCAAGGCACTGACAAAGAGTTGATGTTGTAATGTGGAAGACTGAACTTGGTTAAGAAGCCAATAGCTGAAATCAGAGAAAAATAATCCAGTACTTAACTTCTGGGAATCTCCTTCATGCGCTCTGGGGGACCTAGCTTTATTCACTTGAGTAGAGTATTCTTATCCTCAAGACAAGAGTGTTTATTTATAAAGCCTGACTTCTGACATAATAGTCTTAAGTGCAATTTTGTTATTAGTCACTAGTACAATCAGCAATATTTTACCTGGGAAGGAGAGCTTGAATACCCTTAAACATTTAGCAGTAAGAGATTTCATAACAAAATACTGTTCTGTACTTTGCAGTTTGTGTGGGGACACGGACATGAGTGCACCCTCAGCAAGTTTGATGACAACACCAAGCTGTGTGGTGCGGTGACACGCGGGAGGGCAGGGATGCCATCCAGGGGGGCCTGGACAGGCTGGAGAGGTGGGCCTGTGCAAACCTCATGGGGTTCAACAAGGCCAAGGGCAAGGTCCTGCACATGGGTAGAGGCATTCCCAAACACAAATATGGGCTGGGTGATGAGTGGATTGAGAGCAGCCCTGCAGATAGACTGAGGGGTGTTAGTGGATGGAAAACTATGAGCCAGCAATCTGTGCTCACAGCCCAGAAAGCCACCTGTGTCCTGGGCTGCATCAAAAGTGTGGCCAGCAGGTCGAGGGAGGGGATTCTCCCCCTCTGCTCTGCTCTCCTGAGACCCCAGCTGGAGTCCTGTGTCCAGCTCTGGGGCCCCCAACATAAGAAAGACCTGGACCTGTTGGAGTGAGTCCAGAGGAGGCCACAAAGATGATCAGGGGGCTGGAGCACCTCCCCATGAGGGCAGGCTGAGAGTTGGGGTTGTTCAGCCTGGAGAAGGCGCCAGGGAGACCTGATAGCGGCTTTCCAGTACTTAAAGGGGGGTACAGGGAAGATGGGGAGGGACTCTTTATTAGGGAATGTAAAGATAGAACGAGGGGTAACAGTTTGAAACTGCCAGAGGGTAGATTTAGATTAAAGAAGCAATTCTTCTGTGTGCGGGGGGTGAGGCGCTGGCCCAGGGTGCCCAGAGCAGCTGTGGGTGCCCCCTCCCTGGAAGGGTTCAAGGCCAGGTTGGACGGGGCTGGGAGCCCCCTGGGCTGGGGGAAGGGGGCCCTGCCCGGGGCAGGGGGGTTGGGACTCGATGATCTTTAAGGTCCTTTCCAACCCAAACCATTCTATGATTGAGATGGCTTACAACTTTAAAAGAAACTGAACAAGCAAGCAAACAAACAAAAACAGAAAAAAACCACACTAGCTGAGAATGACTAATGGTGCTTCTGCCAGCAGGAAAACTGGGCATAACTGCAGTCCTGTGTGAACATCAGCTTCTAGGGTACTCCAGAAATCTTCTTTACAGGAGTATTAAGACAGTTAGTGAGTATGCCATCTGCCAACAGTAATCTTTATTCTGTTCCTGCTAGTTATGTATGGCAATTACAGACTGGTCTTGTTTTTAGTAGGTCATAACTCCTACAAACATTTTTGTAACACTCTAGCCAGTTTGCCATCTCAGAGACACTTAAGCTTCAGATTGTGGTCTTGGAGCTTTCAATTCTGGGGATGTCATTAGGAGAGTGCTCTCTCAATGTCTGCTCTTAAAATAATATGCAAGTTGGATCACAACAATGAGATAACACTGCACCCCAAGAATGAACAGAAGTAATGTAGTCTCTTACACAATTTAATGTAAGGACATTTATCAGGGTGTTTGTGTATTTACCATGGCCTTGTGCGGTATTATAGCCTATCTTCTGCCTGTCTCTTTCAAGGGTGTTAGCGTTGGGTGCTGACTCCCAGCCTTGTTCAGGGAAGTGCTGCCTGGTTTGACTTTGTAGCAAAACGTTATGATCTCATCAGCACTGAATGTTGTGTTGGATCTCAGCCTTGTCGGGTTCTTTGGAGCTATCCAAACTTCACAGCTTGTATTATCAAATCTTCAGCTTCATCTGTCCTGAATGGATTCGCTGTAGGACTTACCAGGTTTACTCTTAAAGATGTTGGAGACCATGTTGTATCAGGTAGCAGAGAGGTACAGGGAGCTTGGTTAATGTCCTGTGCTGGTACCTGAAACACTCCCTTGAATGCAGTAAGAGGAGCCTGTGTGAATTAAGTTGACTTTTTCTTCCCTCCCCCTCCAATTTTGTACATAATTGACATTGGGAATCCAGCTCCCGAGACAGTAAGCATAGCAGATGCTTGTGCAAACTGAGACATCTCCTCAAATGGCCAGCAGATCTGCTATTCTGCTAGGTGACATGGTGTCAAAATTTCAGTAATTAGGATGCTATATAAATGAGGCCCACAGTTAAGCAGTTCGAGGCATAGTTTACTCATAGTAGCTTAGCTTTATCTGCATTTCTGTATGTTGGGTGTTTCTCAATACTATTGCTGAAGTGGAACTAATCTGTAATTTAAGTTTGTTTCTTGCTTCTGTTTATTGATTAGGCGAATTAGAAGTTTTGATAGTTTATGTTCTTGTTTTCAGACAAACCTACCTATCTTCAAATTGAAAGAATCTACCGTGAGAAGAAGATATAGTGACTTTGAATGGCTAAGGAATGAACTAGAAAGAGAAAGCAAGGTGGGTAAAATGAAAGGTAAATACAAGTATTCGTAGACATACAAAGACTAGTGATGCTGAAATGTTATGTTATAAAGCATATATATCATAAAGCAGATACTGCTATTGAAAATGTCCAGAACTAAACCACTGTGTCTGTCTTTCTGCAAACCCCAGTTATACAATGCTAGAAGCTGTTTAATGGTTTTGAGTCAGTTCAGATTTAAACTACCTGAAGTCAGCTTACTTATATGGGCAGATACTGTTCTTCTCTGGTCATGTTTTATTACTTCACTAGAGATGTGACTGAGTTGGGTCCTCTGGGAAGAGGAGGTAGAACAGGACGTGTATCAACTTGGTTACAAGCTGAACTTAAGGACACTTCTAAATCTTTCAGGTTGTGGTACCACCTCTACCAGGAAAAGCTCTTCTCCGTCAGCTCCCCTTCCGAGGAGATGATGGCATATTTGATGATTCCTTTATAGAGGAAAGGAAGCAGGCTCTCGAACAGTTCATAAACAAGTAAGTGTTTGGGTCTAGTTATTGGGAGACAAACCCAGAACTCAGCTCTGAAAAATTGAGTTAAAGTTGCTCATCCTCTAACTATGGTAGCTGCACTAGGTTCAGAATAATGATTTTAACACAGTTGCAGTAGGACCTACTAACACTGCTCATCCAGTGTTTAGTTTGGATATCTTAATGCTTACCTGAACAGCTGAAGTGAATTTTGGTGGTGTCATTAATTTATGCAAATTACTACTAAAATTATAGTGTTCAAAATAGTTCTACTTTTTCATTTCTGAAAAGGTGTCCTCCACTGGCTGAACAATGGAGCTTACAATGGGCTCACAGCAGTTTACTTTGATTGCAGATGTGAGGTATTATCAGCTTGTGTAATGATGCGTGCTTTCTCTAATTATCATGAGAATTTTTCTGAAGATGTAAAAACGCTACCTGAGGTATGCACATACATAGTTTGAAATAGACAGACATGTCAGGTTTTGTCACTGCCTTTCAAAGGGTGAGCAGAAATTATAGTAACAAAGTCTTTTTCTACCACCTGACACTACTGACCATTCTCTGTATATTGACCTAAAGAGCTACCTTCATCTCTTTAACAATGTGGATCTAACCAGTGGACAAGGAGGAGTACTGTCAGTTAACCAGCTCTTCTGGTTTCTAGAGCCAGTTCAGACCAACTGAATTTGGGACTGCTGCCTTTAAAAGTTCAAGCTTGTCAGTTCCACTAGCATTCTAATATTGTTCAGTAGTCACACTGTTTAACAGGGAAGGAGAGGATGTCTTAGTTAAGCCAGAATTTACAGAATCTGCTCATTGCTTATTGTTAGTCAGTTCAGACATGTGGCTTGGAGTTGCAAGTGACTGGTTTACTAAAACTGTCTGTCTTGTGCAAATAAGTGTGGCTATACATGAAGTTTTTCTTCACATAGTTGCTTGTTAGCTCAATTTAGAGGGATTGCTAATGGTTTGGACTACTCTTTCCTCTGTTCAAAGACAAGTGGAATGAATTTCCAAGGCATCTAGTTTTGTATTTACACTATGTGAAGTCAGATGGGCTTATAGTAAGATGAAATGTGTAGGGTGTTTTAAAGCTGTACAATCAAGGCAGTCGTGACTGTAAAGTATAACTTTTATCCATGAAGGCTTGGGACTCTACATTAAATGCAGAAGAATTGCACTTACTGAAAGTTTTGTATGCTGCACCTAGCAATATGTGGGGAGAATAGGGCTGTTTATGTTCTGAAGCAGCTGATAGTGAAACAGTCATCTTGACTGGAGCCTCTAAAGATGTGCAGTATAGTCCTTTGAAATGTAAAAGCAGACTGTTAATGCAGATATTGATATAGTGGCAGGTTTGACTATACCTGGAACAAGGTTCTGCAGGCACAGCTGCTAGCTCTTCAACCTCATCAATTTATTCTAATGGTATGATCAACTCATCAAGCAAATATTATGAATTAAAGTTTTGAACCATGTAGAAGCCTTAAGGCTCCTACCAAGTACTCTTGAGTACTAGTGAACTTAGACCTGAAGGTAACTTGCACAGTACATTCACATTGCTGCATTCTTAAAGCTGGTCTTTGCTTCTAGAACTAGAGAACAGTCCCTCAGATAAGCAGGATCACTGTATCCAAAAACTATCTTTGTGCACTGATGCCAGTTCTTTATATCCAGGAGTGTTAAGATAGATGCTGTTGAGAAGCTAACACAGCAGTGCAGCTTATGTAAGCTGCCTAGAGAGAGCTGACTTTCTGGCACCACCATCAGTACTACCTAGAATGACATTCACAGGGGTGGCTATATTGCAGCACTCTTCTCTGCCTGAACCTGACTTTGGGATACATGAAAATTCTTGAAGTAGCAGCTGCTATGTGTAAGGGTCACTTAGTGAAGAATATTGAGGAAAAGCCAAGGCATAGTGAGGTATTCATGTGAAAACAAGAGCCGAACCGGAGAGATCAGATCTAGTCTTGTAATTCAGCCACCAATTTGCAAGCCTTCCTGAAAGGGAGAAGGAATATGCTGCTGCCTCATCATCTTCTCCTGTATATATTCCTCTTGAAGTTCAAGGCCAGCAACTTCAGTCTGATGGGGGTAAGAAACTCAAATTAGTTATTCCAGACTGTTTTCCTTGTGAGCTAGTATTTGAGTGCTGTACATTTGCTAGAAGTTGGCAAGGTTGATAGCTTATTTCAAGAGCAGTCATAAAACATATCAATGCTGAATAGGAGAGCTCAGCATCTTCATTAAAGGGCACCCTCAAAGACAAGTGAGTAGCAACAAATGAATCTGTCCTGTGGTGAAATAAGCACTGATAGATACGCTTGGAGAAGAGGCACAAAAATGCTTGGAAGTACTACTGATACTGAGCCACTGGATTTTACTATATTACACGTGTTCAGCTAGGTAACTTCCATTTAGACTAGAAATGTTCTGACAGATATGGGGGCCATAAGGCTGATGCAAGCTGTCCTAGGGAGGGTGGGGGGCCTTTTGTCTTAAAGGAAGAAGGCTGCATGGTACTTAAGGATTTAAATGCAATACCTTGTGACTTCCTTCCAAGCTTGGGAGTGTCTTCTAATTCAAGTTCAGATTCTTTACTGTTAAAAGGATGGCGGCTCAGTCTGTATGTGGAATAAAACTAAATCTACAGCAGAGATGCTGGTCTCTGTCCCTGCCAGGTTTCACACCTAAAGACATCTGCGACTGACAGAAAGGCCAGTATCCTCGGGCTGTGCCTGGGTGCTGGGAATGGTGCAGTGGTGCTGCTGTGAGCGGGGTGGGAGCTCTCAGAAGACCTTCACACCCCCTGGTGGAGTGAGTCTTTAACTCTGCCTGGCCCAGCTGCTATGGAATTAGACTGAGAACCGAGGGGTTAGGCAGCCTTTGGAAAGGTGTCCTGTGTCAAAGGCATCAGTACCTGTATAAATCCGCTTGACTTGCTTAACTCTAGATTTCCTAATGCTACAGTGGGTACTCGGGTAGTCCCCTGTGTTGCAGGTGATAGATGATGATGATGATGTAACATGCTTCCTGGTGATTGGAGGTAGCTCAGGTTTCCTATGGGCTAACTTCATCTGGGGCAGAATGACAGATCTTGCTGCCAGACATCATTCTAGTCACCAACAGTGAACTGGAAGTGGGATCTGTGACTAGGTGCAGAACCGTAGGTTATTGGTATGAAACCTTGCTCTGGCTAGTTGCACGTAGACTCAATTTGTTAGCACTAATACTTGTTTTTTCTTCTCCAGGGTTGCAGGCCACCCACTGGCACAGAACGAGCGCTGTCTTCACATGTTCTTACAAGATGAAGTAATAGACAAAAACTACACACCGTCCAAAATAAGACATACTTGAGTTCTGAATCCATCTTCTCAAACATTAGTGGTTCTTATGCTTGGTTTTAAGAGGTTGTAGTTTGTCTTAGCATGCTGAGGATAAACAGGCACAAAGTCTCCACTAACACCAGTACACTGCTTGGTCTTTGCATATGCTTTATAGCATTAAAGAACTCACTTGTCTTCTAGCTAAATCCCTCTGAATCCTTGATTTAAGAGTATTATACTATGAGACCATCCACCCCTTGCAATGTCTCACAGACCTTTCCACTCTTATTTGCAATGACTTAACAATGTTTACTGACTTGGCCTTACTTGAACTTGCACAGTTGTAGTGTCACGTGTTCACTTGTATTTGACTAAACTGCTATGCTGTTTCTGAGGTAGTCATCTGTCTGAACTTCTGTAGAAAGACTGCTTTATTTCTGATACCCTGTGTGAGAAACACTTATGCAATTGTCTTCAAGCTTGTAAAACACTTTATACTGAAGTAATGAGGGAATTATCTTTATATTCTGTAAGAGGAAAAAAAAGTCAAATTTATATACTAAAGTAACTTGTCTAAAGTTTTGAAATAAAAGTGAAAATCACTTCAACTGTTTTGTCACTCTTGACCTCGAGTGTGGGATCTCATACTTTCTGTGAAACAGGGACTTGACTGTACTAAGTGAACTGGTGTTTCAGCCTTGCTGTGATGCTATTCTGCAGTGTAGTCCTGTGTTACGAGCAGCTAGCACTAAATACCCTTAGGTGCTGGCACTCGTTGCTCAAGTGTTAAAGAAAGTATAAAGGTACTGAAAGCTGTTCCTGTGTTGTGCAGCCAAAGCTGGAACCCCATTCATGTTAGGCAGTCAGCAGATCTGTGGCTTCAGTAAGTTTGGGAAAAAGAGTACCTTTCTGCTTGGCATGAGAAGCATCAATCTAGCTTCAACTAGCAAGTGAAAATTATACCAGCCTATGGAGAAAGGAATGTTGGCATAACCTATAATATATTATAACTTTGGTCCTAGATGAAAGTAGCCCTGCTCTATGAATACAATTAGGGACGTGAAGCTCTACAAGCTGGCTGTAAAATGTGATCATAGATCACTTCCCTGAACGTTAAAGGAAGGAGAAGCTATAGTATTGTGCCTCTGTGACCACCGGTGAAATGCAGATTGATACCTGGGCTGCAGTTCATGAGCAACACTGCTGAAGTAGTCTTTCTTGCTAGATGCTTCTGTGGCTGGAGAAGCTTCTGTAGTGCTTCCAGATGTGACTTGGGAGTTACTCATCCAGATGTTCTTGAAAATAAATTCAAGAATGCTCTAGCAGCAATCTGCTCCAGTGTTTTGTGCTATTTGGTAACAGTACGGGTTGACTTAGACTTGGCGTCGCTGCTTTTTCCTTATAATATTTATTACCACATCCTACAAACTTACTGGCAAAGTTACTAGTTTCCTTTAAGACCATTAGCCTAATTTATGGAAATCTAGATGTAAAAGATTGAATTGATAGAGCAGTGGTGGCAGCTGGGATTATATGTAGTACTAGTGACTAGCTACACTGAATAATTAAATGCTCAAATAATTGCTTTTTCTCCCTCCTACTTAACGAAGACTGCTAAATCTCTCCAGCAATCCTATTCATGAAACCAGACCAAAAATGACAGAGCCCACTTGCAGCCTAGAGCTGTCTAGCTTTTCAACACAGTCCTAGTGTTTCATGAAGCTTTTGACAATGTAAAATCGATTCTAAATTTCCCTGTGCTTGTTCTATAACACTTAAAAGTTGAGTTATTCCTGGAAATGGGGGAAGAAGGGCTAAATGTATATGAGGTTTTATTATTTAGGTTTAGATATCTGGTAAGGTGTTCTTTTTCTTTTCTCAAACGTTCTTTTCAGAGAGAAGCTTCTTTCAGAAATCAACGTAAATACCCCATCTTATCCCTTAAAGGAGGATGACACAGTCTATATCATCGGCTGTGGAAAAAAGAGAATTAAGCTAAAGAGGGAAAAGCTGCAGGCTTGATGTCAAAGTATTCCTGTTTCTAAAGTGAGGACTTCAGAGCATTGACGTGGGATGTTGACAGAGCATTTCAGATTTCACCTTCTCTTCAGGGCTAACTAGAGACCTTAATTCTCGTGTAGTGTAACTGGTTCTGCTTCTGTGCAGTCTGCAGTACTGGGAGGAAGACGTGGTCCGACGTTAGCTGTGCCTAAACCCCAGGGATCTGGGCACTGTTCCCGGCTGGGGAGTCTGCTCTGCAGGTGAGAGGATGAGATGTGGGTGTGCACCCCTTCCCCTGCCTGCTTTGCAACTGGGAGAAAGGGACTCTGTTGCATCCTCTAGCCTGGGTGAGCTAGGGACTGGGACCGTAGCACACTGTCGAGTGCGGTTGCCTTGCAGCATGGATGCAGTTCACGTTTGCTGCTCTGGCACAGCAGCATAAATTTTACTGAAATGGGTGCTCGTGGGTTCTGCACAGCACTGGGTTTCAACTTCTTTAGCTGGTAAACTGAATTGTCACAGAGTGGAGAACCACAATTGATTTTTCCGCCCTGTCAAGTTCTTTTAGTGTAGAGAGCAGAAAATGGGTGAAGGTTATTACAGGTGCAGGAAGAACACTTCGTAAAATTTCAAAGCATTTGCAATGCCCTGTGGTGAATTCATTCTCGGGTGCTCCATGCTAGTTTGTATAGAAGCTGTTTCGAAGTCCGTGCGTTGTCTCACCTGACTTATCAAAAGACTGGTCTTGTATACTTAATGGTCTGGTTGTTTTGGAAAGGATAGAATGTGAGGCCTAGCAGACGGTGCAAATGGAAGAGAGTTGGGATGAAAACTCTGATGTCTGAAACACGTGAGATTTTTGTGCTTGGAGTCAATGGAGCAAGGATTTCACTTGTGATCTGTATTCCTGGGCACTGAAAAGCAATGAGCCATTGATATACACTGTACGTTTCCACCTGTCATTTTAGCGTGCGTAGCTCTTCCGTCATCCATTGCCATATGAACAATATGTTTTGTTTCCCTTCTCCTATTCCCAAGTTGTTCTGTGCATTGGGGGTTGCTTACCTCTTTCTTTGGTGTGATTACACAGCTGGACACCTTAATAAAACCTCAGAATCTTTTTAATTGACGTAGTGTTTTTGTACTCGTCACCCTTTGTTAGCTGCACGATTCACTGATATTAAAAACCGTAATAGCACGAAACAGGAGACTTAATACTAAGTTAGACCTCTGATCCATTTAGCATTGTGTCCTCGAAAGATCTCTGTGTCAGCTTCTTGAGAAGGAAACCTTGCAGCAGGTGTAGATTTGAACTACAGAAAACAGTTTTATGGAGGACGTCAAGGTCCCTTTGCCCCAGAGCTATTCCTTTAATGTTTGTCCAACCTGTCTTTAAAAACCTCTGATGGTGGAGACCCCACAGCCTCCAAGGCAATCCATTTTAGTAGGGAATATTTCTGTTCCCTGGTAAGTAGGGTACAGTGGAAGAAACTAATCCAGAAATAGAGGGATAAGTGTTAAAAGACCAGTGGAAAGCAATTTAAATTCAATATATTTTTATTCTTTGTAAATACAATGAGTACAACTTTTTAACTTCACAAATCAGTTAATCCACTTTGTACAGGAAAAGTTTTACTCATTCTATGATAGTCCAAGTGCTGATTTTTCTCAGTGCTAGTTCCTAATAACAAATTTTGAAAAGTACAGCAGCTATCTTTAAATGTTTTTTCTACATTTTTCATACATCAAATAAGCAGCTTATAACGTTTTTGTGTGTGAGAGGGTGTAGGCGAACAAGGCTTCGAAATTAGAACCTGGAGTTTTCTAAAAAGGCATTGGAGACTTTTGGAAAATGTTAGCATTGGATCAGTCAACAACCTTTCTTTCTTTGAAATAAAATTCCTTCCATTGATTTTTTTTTTTTGTTTTTTTCATAGTCATTTCACTTCTCTGCGCATCTCATTGACAAAGAGTTTGGCCACCGTTGCCTTTGGTTTCAGCACTGTGCCAACGGGACACCCAGCAGGTCACTGAAGCGGTCATCTCCATTGTATTTGGTTTTGCTGTTTGAGTCTTCCTTTCTTGACTTGTATCTTTTCAGGTGTGTGTCTGAATGTGTGTCTGTGGGGGGGGGGGAAGGAGGAGGAGGGAAGGACGGGGAGGAAGCGTATAAAGCTCTTCTGTCTTTGAGATGTTAACTGAACAAATTGCGGTGACATCCACATCAAAGATCACCAGTTCATTTTGCAGGAAGAATGGAGCTGCTGTCATAAGCTACTTTTTAATCAGTTCTGAAGGCCACTTCATGATGTATTATAGCAGAAGCAATGTTTCGGTAACCTGGTCTTAAATGTTGCCTATCATATTAAAAACATTTTCCCAACATAGGCTACTTTTAAAACAGTTCTGAAGGCCACCACCTCTCATGTTACAACAGAAGCCAAGTTTGGTCACCCAGTTCCAAATACTGAACAAACTAAAGTACCTTCTTTCACATTTTGTCTCAGATCTGCCAGTTAAATGGGAGAATAGCGGAGTCTTTGTTAACTATGACTGGCATCTGAATTGCCTCCATCCTGTAGTAACAGGAATAGCAGCCAAATTCCAACCACTTTCACTTTTTCTGTAGAACAAAGCATTCTCTCCATGATCTAAATCAGTCTGTTCAGAGCAGCAGAATCATATCTACTGGGGTATTTTTTGTCAATGGGTTTAAAGGCTAAACATTCCCAGGCTTATGCTTCGTGTAGATTTTGTTAGTTGAGGCTTATTCTCCATAGATAAAAGTTCTTCTCAAACTGTCTGTCCTGATTGTTTATTTGAAGGTAACTTATATGTCACTGGATTTGTACATATCTGAAAGCAGTCTTGTAATTGGTACATTCCCAATGGTCTTTTTGAAAAACACTTCTTCTATTGTAGATGGACTAATCGAACGTAAAGCTGGTAAAAGCAATAAAAGTTTTCCAAAACGACAGGGTTGTGTGGGGTACCTGGGAGACAGAGAGAAAAAATGTTATTGAAGTTTTTCAGTATTTTTTCAAAGAAATTATTTTACTTTATAGGAAAGACCAGTGTTCAACAAATTGTACAGATAGGTGCTACCTGTGCTCAAAACCCCCCTGTGTTTTGTACTCACGTCAGCAAGAAGTTGACCCCAAGGAAAACTCTCTGAATAGAGGTTAGCAGAACAGAAACCAATGTCTCTGAGTTTTGATTAGCTTTGATTGTTTATTCCCTCAGAGCAGTAGCAATACAGAGACAGGATCTGCTCTGACTTGTCCCTCATAAAACAGCTGTGTTCTTGATGCAGTTCAGGGAAGAGCTTGACCTATAATAAATACCCTGTCATTTATAGTGCAGCTTAAACCCGGCTGGATTGTGATGGTAATCATTTTGCCCCCTCTTGGTTGCCATATACACTGAATACCGGTTGACATCTGGAAATCATTTTTTTGTTAAAGCAGCTGTGTTTTATCCCCAGGTAACGTGTGTGTGTAACGGGATGTTTTCCATCCTTTCTCCCCGCTTTTGAAGCTAACACAACATAGGATGTGTATTCCAGCTCTGCTTACTCTGGGTGATTCTCAAACCTCTGCTTAAAGTGGTCTCCCTAAAAGAAAGGAGAAGGTTGTCTGGAGAAACGCTCCCCTTCTCCGCTCTGCCCTCGCTTTCATCCTGTTGAGAGTGACAGCACTAAGATCTCTGAAGGGCTGATACTGCTGTAACACTGGCAGGAAGGTAAATTCAAGCCAGAGGGTGAAACTCAAGCTGAAAGCCCTGTCCCGCTGGGGTCAAGTGCACTTTTTTTCCTTGTAAAAAGACATCTTTTACAACGGACGCTGTTTAGCCCGGTAGCTAAATATTTCCAGCAACGCCATGGAAAAGTTGCCATGCTTAGAGTGGAAACCGTGCCTATGTAAAATGATTCCTCCCTGGCTTCTCTCTCCAGGAGGCCCTGCCTCACTCGCTCTCCCAGGAACAATCTTCATGGGAAGGGTCTTGCGTAAGAACAGGAAGAGGTTGCAATGCAGCTGTTGCTCTTTTTGCTCTGAACTAGCCCTAACGGGATGGTATTTGCATTTTCGCTCCCGTACCCCAGGCAGCGCTTCCGAGATTGCTGCCGTTTAACTGCTGACGCTGAGCGGGCTTGTGCTGGACAGAGCTACTGTGAGAACAGATCCAAGGTTCAGAAGATAAAAATGAGCTTGAAAGTTTCTCTTCCGCTGCTCCGTCTCCCGCTGTGGTAGTCTCATGGGCCTCCGCTGCGGGTGAAGGACCTAGACACAGACTTTACACGACCTGTGGCAGCTCTCCTCGGAAGCCCTGGGCCATCCGGAGTGGCCGTTGCAGGAGATGTTAGGTGCACTCTTCAGGCTTCTCCCCTGTCCCACCGCTCTGAAGTGGTCCGTGGGAGGAGGCTACTGATCTGATCACGGCCAGCTGTTCTAGAGTGTGGGGTTGTACTTCGCAGGGTACGTTTTGTGCACTCCTGCCCTCACCTCTGTATACTTGGTAGGGCAACAGCTATAGTTTTTACAGCAGGTTTTAAGATTTCTCTGTCCCATGGGAGACAAGGGGGAATATATTCTTCCCAAACAGTGATTCGCATCACTCTGCTGCAGCACCAAAATGGGATTCACAAGTTCTGAGTTTTTCATTTCAACCTGAGAACAGACTCGGGGTAGCATCTTGGAAGAGCCATTTAACTTCCTTGTGTCCCAATTTCTATGTCTGCAAAATGTGGGAAATTATACGGGGGTTGGAGATCTAGGATGAAAAGCACACATACTGCTGTGAGAGGTGAGGTTTTGAGCATCACTATTGGCAGTATTTAACTGAATAAAACGTAGAGGAAAACGTAGCCTTCTGAACTGCAAAATGTTCCACAGGAGGTATCACTTCCCAGGGGAAGATCTTTCCTTTTAGTGCTTTTCCATCCATCTGAATAAATTGAGGTGCTGGAGAGCATCCAAAGAGCAAGGAAGCTGGTGATGGGTCTAGAGCTCAAGTCTTACGAGTGGCAGCTGAGGGAACTGGGGTTGTTTATCCTGGAGAAAAGGAGGCTCAGGGGAGACCTTATCGCCCTCTACAACTACCTGAAAGGAGGGGGTAGCGAGGTGGTTTCTTCTCCCAAGTAGCAAATTATAGGATGAGACGAAATGGCCTCAAGTTGCACCAGGAGAGGTTTAGATGGGATGTTAGGAAATATTTCTTCACCAGAAGGGCTGTCAAGCATTGGAACGGGCTGCCCAGGGAAGCGGATGCGTCACCATCCCTGGAGGTATTTAGAAGATGTCTAGATGTCACGCTTAGGGACAGGGTTTAGTGGTGGACTTGGCAGTGTTAGGCTAATGGTTGGACTGGATGATTTTAAGGATCTTTTCCAACCTATTCTACGAATCCGTTTCATCAGGAAATGCCAAATCCCAGCAGGCTGACAGCCAATGTATACTTGCTGTAACAGCCCGATCCCCGTTTCACTCAGTGGAAATGTCACCTTCGCTACGGGGAGAGCAGGATTCTACCCCTACACCCACAAGAAGTATCGAGAGAAGGCAGCACTCACCTGGTATGGATGTAGCTGTTCAGGGTGAGCTGGGCTTCATCTTGAAGGGCTGCTATGGCGGCAGCGTTTCGGAAACTCCGCAGTTCGGAACCACTGTGTGTAGGCACTAGAAAGCAGATCAGTTACTAGTTCAGCTTGACTCTTGGATGGGTCAGAACAGTTCAGCTACTGCTCTTAATGGAAACCAAGCGTTCCCATTAGTTCCCCAGCACTCCACCGTCAGCCTTTCAAAACGCAACGCTGACTACTGGAATTCAATTCCAGGAAACCTGTTGGATGATATAAAGCTACACCTGGTTCAAAACATCCTTTTTGCTTTAAAGTTGCAAGCTCCTAGTTATCAGACCAGACAAGCGAGAGATTCCTTCTGCTTACCAGCTTTAAAAGTGACGATGCATTTGAGACAGGCAAATTCAGTAGCATCTAGCCGAAGTTGTCTAAATCTAGCCACAACCTCCTGTAAAGCCTGTATTTCTGAAATAATTTTATTCAGCTTCTGAGAATCTGTATTGTCACCGTTCATGCCTAAAACAGAAACAGATGAAATAATTAATATTAAAGGCATTTGCTTTATTTTATATTGATTTCTGACAAAATCCTCTGTATCAATATCCACTCTATTGTCACACTTGTCTATCTGGTTCCATGTAAACTGACTATATTGTATGAAAGTTAATATAAAATCTTCTCTTGGATGATAACAAACACAGTAATTTGCATTTAAATGACAATGCAAGCAGTCATGAATACAACAAAACAACATTATTTGCATTTAAATATAGATTTATAAATGACAGGTATGCTCTATTGTTCAGTAGGAATTTGTTATTCTTTACATGTTGTTCTTTTTTTCAGTAATGTATTTTTATGGTAATTTTTCTAACAAAGTCATTAAATTGTGCAATTCTTACCAGATACAGCCAGTAGAGTGTTAGCATCAACTGGAATGGCCCATTGTGCTATTCCTAGAACAAACAGTTCTCTCCAAGCATCTTCCAAAAGCATCAGCTGTCATACAATAGATGTACAATATAACATAGTGTATAATTTATAGATTTATAAACAATTTAAATATGTAAATTTCTGTTATTTTAAAAACTACTTTAAATGCCTGTCATGGTATTTTCCCCACAGCATTCGTTAGCTCTTCTCTTAGCTTTTTGAGAAGGTGTCTAGAAATAAGCCTGTGCATTGTAGAAAAACACTGAGGGTTGGCTCACCATGTTGTGCACCATGTTGTGGACCAAAAGGGAGGAGAAAGAGAAAGGAGAGCGAGGACTCCCACCCCAGAGAGCTTGCTCACCACATGAACACTCGCCCGTTTTTCAGCACAGTGCGGGCTCTCTCCTCCTCTCCCTCGGCACACAGACCTGTCCTAGGGCAAGTTGGACGAGTGCTCTCCCATTGCTCTCTAGGGATTAGGCTCCTTTCCCTTGGGAAGGCAGGATTTGTGAAGACAAGCCTGGACAACATCCTGGAACTAGATCACTCTGTAGGGAGCACTGCTTTAGAGCACACGCGTATCTTTAACTCCTTCCTTACTAAGCAAGTGTTTAGCTCTTTCAGGCACAGCATCTGGACACACATACGGTTTCTCAGCGTCACCTGTTTTCCTGCTTTTTGCTTAAAATCACTCAGAAATTCCAGGCACTAAGAGCTGTTTCCTTTCAGAGAACTGAGTATCCAGCCACCTACGCTGACAGCGTTGCTAGTTCTCTGCAATTTTTGTACATTGCCTGGCTGCATGGAGGACGCATCTTTCTCTGTTTGGAGGCAATGCCTTTGATTTCCGTGGAGAGGCAGTGGTGCATCTGAAGAGAAAACAAGACTCCTGGTAATGCAGACTGGCAAAGCCAGAACAGACATGTTTCGTCTTGAGGGCATCTATGGATTGTTGACCCAGATCAACTCTTCAGAGGGGGTTTGGAGGGCCCCCAGTTCAGCTGAAGTTTATGGCCTAAAGGACATGCTGTGGTGCGTACACACTGCTGGGACCTCATGTCTCTCGAGAGAGTGGGAGAGATTTGCAGGGGTCAGAACTGTAGTGGTCTCCAGAGGTATCATCTGGTGGCTCCATGCAATGAAAATGGATCGCCCAAAACTCATGCAGCAAAGAATACCAACCCACAAGCATCGCTATTGCTATGGTCTCTGAAAGCATCAGCAGCTTAGCTTCTTAGGAAAATAAGAAGGAGGGTATGTTAAGTCTATAAGGAGTCTGTAAGGAAGAACAAAGTAAAAAAATGTGTTGTACCAAATCAGTTATGATTTCCTTGGAATCAGGTATGTGAAAGTAATAGATGATACAGAAAGCGTGCTCTAAGAGCGAATCCTTTATCTACGGGCTAACTCCTAAGAGTGTTATGACTTTTAAACCACCCTGTTCTGATCAGAATGGGAGGAAGAGCTCTCAGGGCCTCTGCTCTCAGCTCGTGCCTTTTTGTGCTATATACTTTGCAGAACTTCTGCGTAACGTGGCTAAGGAAATTGTGACAGGAAAGTATTTCTGTCTCTGCATACAACTACTGTTTGAAATAACTCCACTGGCATTTACGGTACTGGAAGCTGCCCAGATTATTGTATGAAATGGAGGGGGATCTCTAGGGTGCGGTGCCCATCTCAGGTCTGTCCTGAGAGTAGCTGAACCTGCTCATAAGCCTCCTGACTGCTTCAGCCTGCGAACCCAGCCCCTCCTCAGGATAATCCTGCCTGATGGATGTGCAGGTTTCTGTATGACATAGGAAATGATTCGCCAGCCTTTCGTTTGCTTTTGTAAAACTTTTTTTGGTCGTTCATTCAAGCAGATACAATGGTAATGAACGGTGGTTCCTGCAAGATATCAATTTCTCATGTTCTCTCCCACTAAGTCTTTAAAGTCAGAAGACTTTAGAAACAAGAGACTATTCCAATAGCTGAAGCTTTCTTCATGCCTATGCATAAGTCTGTAAAACCACCAATTAAAATAATTCATGCTGAAGTCATGCTCAGCCCTCCTTCAAAGAAACAAGAAATGCCAGGCTTTCTGAAGGACTAGTTTTTGCTTCTTAATCAACCCTACCCTGTAAGTACAACCTTCTGCTGGTGACCTGCATTGGGCCAACCCGTCTTACGGACAAGCTGGGCGGGTGTGCAGGCCAGCAGAAATGAAGCATGGCATTTTTGTTGTGTGGCTTCCAATTCACGACGGGACTAGCTGTATGGAGCTGGGGAAGGGACACAGCCTGTTTTACCGAGGGTAGTGACACGCCAATCCTCGGACTTGTGTTTTGTTGGCAGATTGGTTTCTACTTATTTCCTTGCCTTCGAGATGAAACCATCACAGAGTCCTAGAATCACAATGCGCTTGCCTTTTCAGAAGAACACAAACAAAAGCAGAATCCAGGAAAGGGTTTTATACTGTCCTTGGGCAGATGTCAGGGATACAAAAAGAAAGAAAAATGCAGACATTTACAGCTGGGCCATTGTCAAATTAAATAATGCAATGGCACTATTATAAAAATCAACTGTCTGATTATTCATGAAATAAGGTGATGAAAATCAGAGTTATTTCTTCTCCAGCTCCCCTGACAGAGGAATTATGCGGAAAGAGGCCCAGGTCAAAGTTTTAGAGCTGAGCAGCTCTAAGTTTTGAGGAAGTTGGTTTGCAATGAGGTACAGCAAGTCAAAGTGGTGTTAAGGAAAGGCTGAGATTTTAATCTGTAATTCACTAACATTGGTCCCTGATAGGAAAGTGAAAGAGGCAGGGGCTTATTTAAAGACAACAGGAATGCTGCTCTGGTGTCTGCTGTAGATAAGCAGGCCTTGCTGTCTGAGGCATGCTTGGTCATGTGCAACAAAAAGACTTCCCTTGCTCCCAAAATCCTGCTGCCCCCACCTCTGCACGCTGACGGAGACGACCTCGTGGGGAACGCACGGGCATGGCGCCTGCTAAGGCCTTCGCCTAAGGAGCCTCCCGTGGGCATCGCCGGTCTGGAGAGGGGCCCAGCCCCTTCCCAGGCGCTGAGGCGGCTGCTGAAGCGGCACGCGTGCTGCTCGTCCCCCGTAGTTGGGCCAGCTCCTTTGGTTGCTTGGTGTGACAGAGCCGGTGCTCCACGGGAGCAGCGCCAGCAGAAGGGGACAGTAGGGAGCAGCATGCTGCCCTGGCACTGCCGGCACCCCAAGGGTACGTGTAACCTCCCGGGCCCTAGCTCGTTGCTACCCCAATGCTCGCCGCGTAGCAGTACTGCAGCCAGAGCTGAGCAGCCTCCCCCTTCGTTTAATTTCACACGGATTTCAAAACATGGGGGCGGTGCTAGAAAAGGAACCTTAGCATTATATCACATTGTGACCATCATGATTTACCTTTAGGTAGAAAACATCATCGGTTTGCTAAGAAGCTCTTTTCTTTCAGTTCACAATACGTATTTGCCTCTTAGCTGCGACACTTGCAACACGCATCCATGGAAAGGAGCTAGTTCCTCTGATGACTACTATGTAACGTGTAAGGCACAACATTTCTAGCTACCATTTTGGGAAATTAGCTCAATCATATCAAGGTATTAGATGTCTTTTATGATTGGAGCTTTGCTTAGATTTTCTCCCTTCCATTTTATAATTATCTGATTACTTTTTTTAAAAAATAGTGCGCTATACAAAGCACACTGAGTCCTCATCGAGAACCAAGTCATTAAGAAATTTCTTCACCTCATATGGTTCACATATGATTTTCTTGAGGCAAAGGCAAATTGTCGTGAGGGAAAACAAGACAAATTAGTGTAGATTTTAATTAATGGCAAAAATATCGGAGACTGGCCAAATTCTGCTTCCACCATATTGGTGTAATTTTAAGTTCACTGAAGCCAACGTGAATAAGGAAAAATATTGACTGTGTAAAAAGGAGGGGAGGGGAGGGGAGGGAAGAGGAGGAGGAGGAAGAAGAAGAGGAGGAGTAGGAAGAAGAGGAGGAGGAGGAAGAGCAGGAGGAGGAGGGGAAGGGGAAGGGGAAGGGAGAGGAGAAAGGGAGGGGGAGAGGAAGGAGAAAAGAAGGGGAAGAGAGGGGGAGGGAGGAGGAGGAAGAGGAGGAGGATGAATGGTCTTCAGAAATCACCTCAGTCATATCCTGAGGCTATATACTTAACTAAGCACTTCTCATCCCAAAATAGCAAAGTAAGATGCTGTTCCCCATTTTATGGAGGGGAAAGTTGTCTCACAAGTAAAGAAGCACTTTTGGGATGCTGAGCTTGGTCTGCAGCCCGGTGACTTCTCCTCTAGTACTTGTCCTCCTATAATATTTGTTTTATATTAGCTTTTTTTCTGGCTTGATTTTCACTTGCTTCATGAACTAAAATTTGGAGGAAAGCAGTCTCTAAATCACTGCCTTGTTTTCAGGGACAGACCAAAACTCTGCCCTGAACTTCAGAACTGCTAAAGTCCATTATGGTTTTAAAGGTCCAGGGCTGAAGGTTCAGGACCCAAACTGAGCCCTGAGCCTTCTTTAACAGGCAGGCCAGGCCGGTGCCACTCGCACCGCAGGTGCCTTACCTGGTCTTGCAAGGACAAGGTGGAGAAGGCTGGGACGCTCTTGGCCCACTTGATGCTCATGAACAGAAGTCTGGCTGCTGACTCGCAGACGGATTCGGTGGCCACTTCGTAGAGATACATAGGGGTACCGTTGACTTCATGTGGGTACTAATGTCAGAAAGAAAATAAAACAACTTCATATAATGTCACCAAGGCAACCTTATCTTCCTCTCCCCTACAGCTGCCATGCAGTGCATCGTGCCCGTGCCCAACACAGCGTGTGCGCTCTCATATTCTGCAAGCAGAGGGCATTGCTTTCAGCCAGCTCACTCCAAACTGCTCCCTGCTGCTCATTCGTGTGGATGAACTGTACTACAGAAATAGTTATCCCGAGGAGGTTCAAGAGAGAGTGGAATTATTACGTTGGGGAAAAAACTACCAAAATGCAGTGTCATCCTTTGCCCTGTTACACAATAGCTCACCTCTGGTAGCAGAGTTAGAAGAACACAAATTAAGATTTTGCGACTTGTAACCTGTGCTGATTCAGCTGATTCAGCACTCCAGCCTTGCTCAGCAGAGCAGTAAGTACTGGGTTAACCTTAACCTTCATCTAACTCTCTGACTGCAACAGGCTGCAGGCACGTGCGCAGAGCTAAGCATAACTACCTAAAGGGTGTGCAGGATTGGAATGGAGTTACGTTTTCGAGCATGTGCTACGTTTTCTTGCTAAATAATTTCCGATTTGGTATTTTCCAAAATTAAAATATAAAACTGCATGTTTTGATCGTGTTCATGATAGATTCTCCCAAGCTACCACCTCCAGAAATGGAGAACCATTTTAGTTGTCTCTTCTTTGATTTTCCAGGTGCCGTAAATATGCAGAACGCCACTGCAAATGGGTTAATGAAAAACATCACCTTTTGGCTAATTCCCGTGCAGTTGAGGCCACCGCAGTGCTTCCACTGGGCTGCTCGGGAAACGTCACAGCCAAGAAGCGCAGAGCCAGCTTAGACACGTTTGTGTCTGTGTGAACAAGCTGCGGGCTTTGCTCAGGGCTGGTAGTACTTTCTGGACTACACCACCATGGAGACGGGCATTTTGCTGAAGAAAACTCAGTGGCTGTGGCTCATCCTCATGAAACGAAGTTTCAAGTTGACTTGTGGATGGGCTGCAAGCGGGAGGAGCACCTCTGCAGCCACGAGGGTGTAAGGGTGTAGGAGAGACAGGGTTTGTACAGAGCAGGTTATCAGTCGCTCCTTCTGCGCATCCCTTCTGCAGAGGGCCTCTCACCCCCCCGCACCCCGTATCTCCAGAGCTTTTAGGGGCGCAACAAAAGAGTCCCCCCCACCACCACCTGCAAGGCCTCCAGCCTTGCTCCTTGGCACCTCTACCCCCGAGGCAGGGGGGAGGCGGCGGGTGGCAGGCACCCCAGCAGCGAGGCCCGCAGGCCCGCGGGGGGGCCGGGGCAGGGGCTGACCTTTGGGGTAGGCTGCGCCAGGCCCACCAGGGCCTGCCTTTCGGGGGTGCCGGCGACGGCGGCCAGCTCCAGGCTGTGGGGCTCCAGCTGGGAGACGGCGGTGAAGAAGGCGGGCGCCGGCAAGGCGGCGGCGGGGAAGTGCGGGGCGCCGCCGCTCTCCTCCTTGTGCCCGCGGAAGTAAAGGGCCACCTGCTTCCGTATCGTCGACGTCCGGGGGCCCCGCTCGTGCTGCACCGCTGCGGAGAGGCAAGGGGGGGTCACCACGGGGTCCCTCACCGGGTAAACCACGCTGGGCTTCCCTCCCTCCCTCCCCACAGAGGTTTTGGGGGTCAGCCCCCTTCCCTCTGTCCCAGGGTGGGGGGGGGGGGGGGGGGGGATGCTTGGGGAGAAATGGGCGAGGCTGCCGTGGGATGGAGGGGAGTCATCAGGGGCTTCGGGGCGGGGGGGGACGGACCCCCCCCCCGGTGACACACCACTCCCCAGTTCCGAGGAAGGCCTGGCCCCCTCCTGCCACCCCACCGCCCCGGGAGAGAGGGGAGCAGGTACCGTCTTTGTTCATGTTGACCTCCAAGCACTTCTTCAGCCGGCAGGCCCGGCACTGGTTCCGGTGCGTCTTGTCCACCGGGCAGCCCCCCTGCAACACACGCAGCCAGCCGTCGGGCCGGGGGGGGGAGCGGCGCGCTCACCCCGACCGGCGCCCACCCCCGCGGCGTGACGGGCCGGGCCGTGGCCGTGCCGGGGTGCGTGGCCGTGGCGGGGGGGCCGCGGCCCCGCGGCGGGGCGGGCCGGGCCGCCTTCAGCACCCGAGACAGCGACGGCGGCGCCGCCCCCTCGGGGCGCCCCCCCCCCCCGGCCCCCTGTGCCCACCCCCCACCCGGCGCGTCCCCAGTCCCGCATCCCCGCGGGGACGGTCCGCGGGTGGAAATGAGCGCGGCCGGAGCGGGAAGGGGAAAAAAGCGGAGCTGCCTCCTCCCCGGGCGCGGGCGAGACCCGCCCGGGATGGAAACCGTGGATTCCCGAGGGGCTGCCCCTCTCTTTCCCCGTGGAATTAGCCGGCGAGCGGGCTGCACGCCTCCCCCCCGCCGTCATCCCCGTTCCCTCCGTGCGCAACCCCCCCGTGGGCTGCGGCCGCACGGCCCGGGGAGGGGGGGACGTGCCGGGGGGGGGGTGTGGGGGGGTGTGGGTGGGCGGGTTGGGGCACCCAGCGCCCGACCTGGGCCCGGAACCCTCGGGGAAGGGAGGGGGAGGCTGCGTGGCCGCTGGAGTTTACTGCCGCGGGTGTCTGTTGGCGGGGGAGGGGGCAACACGGGGCGGGGGTGGCCCTGGGGAAACGCGAGGTGAGAGGTGCAGGCGGTGAGGGGACTGCGCTGCGGCTGGTACCTGATTTCCCGATTTGCAAACATAGGTCCTATTCCTCCTGATGCTCCGCTTGAAAAATCCCGAGCACCCATCGCAGGCGTAAACCCCATAGTGTTTCCCGGAGCTGCGGTCCCCACACACTTTGCAAGGGATGTCTAAAATGCGACCTGAAAGGAGAGAAGGGAGAGAGGGAGAGAGCGAGCGCTCAGCAATCTGACCTCCGGAGGGATTAGCCCCAGAGCCGCAGTACAAGCAAATAATGAAGTGATTTTATAGCCAACTTTCTTTTCCTTGAGCAAGTGTCAGTTTTCTACAATGAGCATTATTCATGCCCCGCTACGTTTATTTGGATCTTCTATAGTCGCCAAGACCCATTTTGGAAGGGAAGATTACAGCAGCGGGAGCAGCAGACTTGCCTGCTAGAAGTGGGGATGCAGAGGGGGGGAGACTTGGCGGGGGGGACTGCGGGGGGGGGGGGGGGGGGGCGGTGTTTCCTTCGCTTTCTGGCGCTCGCCAAGGAGAGGACGGCACTTTCCCTGGGCAGGAGAGCAATCAGGAGACCGAGGCACAGAATAAACCAAAACAAAATAAACTGACTGGGAAGCCAAGTAACCTTCTTTCCCCCCTAGCAAGCCCAGCGAAAGGGGGCTGGCTCCTGCCGCAGACGAGGCGTGCCATTTTCTTCACCCCAAAACCTGCAGCAAAACTTTCCGCCTCGCCTTTGTGCGCGGCTGCGGGCTGGGGGCAGGGGGCTGGGGGCTGTGGGGCTGAGGGCTGGGGGGCTGGGGGCTGCGGGCTGGGGGCTGGGGCGGGCGGGCAGCGCCCCTCGCTGCGCTCCGCCGGGCCCTGCTGCCGCACCGACTTTCCCTAGAATTGCAAAGGCTCTGGAGGCGATGTGAAAACTCGTGCAGACATTGCTGCAGCCCGGGTCAAGAAACCCGCCAAAACCCCGCTGGGTTTCTACACTTTCTCCGGCTTCCCTCTTCTGTTTTCTCTTTCTTCTCTATTTTATTTTCTCTTTTTTATCTTTCTTTTTCTCTTTTTATTTTCTTTTTCTTTTTTCTTTTTCTTTTTCTTTTTCTTTTTCTTTTTCTTTTTCGTTTTCTTTTTCTTTTTCTTTTTCTTTTTCTTTTTCTTTTTCTTTTTCTTTTTCTTTTTCTTTTTCTTTTTCTTTTTCTTTTTCTTTTTCTTTTTCTTTTTCTCTTTCTTTTTCTTTTTTCTTTTTCTTTTTTTTTTTTATTTTTCTTTTCTTTTTTCCTTTTCTTTTTCCTTTTCTTTTCATTTTCTTTTTCTTTTCCTTTATATTTTTATTTTCAGTTTTTCCTTTCCTTTTCCCTTTTCATTTTTCCTTTCCTTTTCCCTTTCATTTTTCCCTTCCTTTTCCCTTTCATTTTTCCTTTCCTTTTCCCTTTTCATTTTTCCTTTCCTTTTCCCTTTTCATTTTTCCTTTCCTTTTCCCTTTTCATTTTTCCTTTCCTTTCCTTTCCTTTCCTTTCCTTTCCTTTCCTTTCCTTTCCTTTCCTTTCCTTTCCTTTCCTTTCCTTTCCTTTCCTTTCCTTTCCTTTCCTTTCCTTTCCTTTCCTTTCCTTTCCTTTCCTTTCCTTTCCTTTCCTTTCCTTTCCTTTCCTTTCCTTTCCTTTCCTTTCCTTTCCTTTCCTTTCCTTTCCTTTCCTTTCCTTTCCTTTCCATTTTTTCCGCTTTTTTTTTTTTTTTTTCTTTTCCCTCTGCCTCAAACATCCTTCTTCCCTCCTGCCAGAACTTAAGTTGGAAATTCAATCAGTCCCTCTCCCCCAACCTTGGTCTCCAAACTCCGACGGCGAGCGCTCGGGGCCGCTATCTTTGTTTGGAAGTAGTTCAGGGAGAGCCCGGGTCGCGGGTGGGTGTGGGTGAGGGCTGGCGGGGGAAAGGCGGCAGCGTGCGGAGCGGTGCGGAGCGCTGCTGGAGGGGCGGGGGGGCGGGGGGGGAATGGAAGCAGGCCGCAGGGGCTCCTCTCGCTCCCTAGAGAATTTAGGAGCCCGAGATACTTTCAGACATGTCTACGCTAGGGCTCTAAGACAATGCCCGCTGGCAGACAATAGGGACATTAGATAAAGTGTTAACTTAATGATTTTGCCCATTGAAACTCGTTTGACTGCCTCCAATGAGCACAAGCTGCCAGCTTCTCCCCTAAATGAAACCCGACAGCTGCTGTACACAACGCGGCGAGAGGGACGGGGATTAGGTCCGGGACTGCGAGAGGGAGGGGTGGCGGAGGGAGGGAAGGTGGGAGGGAGGGAGGGAGGGGGAGAGGTTAAAAGAATAGAAAACTTTTACGCAATTAATAAGGAGCGCAGCGAAAGGAAGCCCCCACCCCCCCGCCCCACTGCCTGCGAGCAAGCCGCGGCTTTGGAGCTGCAGGTAGGCGCCCGTGAGGAGGGCTGAGGCCAAGGCACGGTTTCTGGGAGTGTGTAATTACAAGCCCTCCTTGCCACCTGCCTATTGGGGCACCAGTGACCCGTCAAAAAGTGTAGCATGGGAATTCGGATATCGCACAATGCCAACGGGGGAAAGCGCTCGACTTCCCTCTCCAGCCCTTCGCATCCACGGGGAGAGAGAGGGTCCACACGCACGCACACAAAGGAGGAGGAGGAGGAGGAGGAGGAGGAGGAGGAGGAGGAGGAGGAGGAGGGGCAGGCTGGGGGTGGGGGGAGACACACTGAAGCGGTACGTGCGGCGGTGGCGCGTCCCGACGCAGAGCCCGGCACCGCCGCGCTGCCCCCGCGCCCCCCGGGGACACCGCCGGGACACCCACCCACCCCACCCCCCCCCCCCACGCACACACAGACACACAGACACGACACACACACACACACACACACACACCCCGCTCCCCCTTCCCTCGGCAGCGGGGCCCAGCCGCGGCCACGCACCCGGGCCCACAGTGGGGCCGCCGCCCGGGGCTCCGCGCAGCCGTGGGGGTCCCCGCGCAGCCGTGGGGGTCCCCGCGTCCCCGGCCAGCCTGCGGAACGGAGCAGCCGGTTCGGCTTCGTGGGCGCTAAAAGCGGGCGGCGAAGAGGGAAGAAACTTAGGTTAGTTTTGCAAAACAGTTCTTCCCAGACGGATTTTAAGTTTGGGAGCCGCTTTTTTTTTTTTTTTTTTTTTTTTTTTTAAAAAAAAATACTATGCATTATATACGTATAGATCCACACCCTGCACGTAAACATATGTGCTATATATTCTTTACACGTTCACATAGTCCATCTATAAAACCCGAGCACCTGGAGCGCCTCACCAAACCCAGATCTCCACGTTTCCAGCCGTCGGAGCGGCGGGGCCGGTCCGATCAGCCCCGCGGCCCCCGGCGAGGCGGAGGGCGGGGAGGGGGGGCCCGGCGGAGGCAGCGGCTGCAGCCCCCCCCCCCCCGCCCTCCCGGCCCGGCCCGCAATCCCGGCCGCTCTCTGCCCCCCCTCCTCTCCTCCCAACTCCCCCCCATCCCCGCCCCGCGGGGGCTGTTATGAGAAAACTTTCGTGCAGGACAAAATATGAAACAAGTTGACGGGGAAGAGGCAGGGCGGGGGGTGGGAAGAGAAAAATGTAAGCTTGACACGGGGTCATGAGATAACTGATTAACTCTGTTTAAAAGCGCTCCGGTTTCCCGAGGTACCTCGCCGTCTCAGAAGTTTAACGCTAAGAAAATGGGATTTCTGTTCAGCTGGGAAACAGTTTTGAACATCCCACGACAGGGGGTCCTTGGGGGCTATTTTGTGTGTCATAATTGCTTAAAGGATATATGGCAGCCCCGATTACTGTAATTACCATCAGAGGCTGTTGAAAGAAGTTAGTCTGGGCTCGGGGGACAGCGGGATGGGGTCTCGTTACCACCCAGGCAGACACCGCAGCTGACATCGCTTAGACGCCCACCGGCGGGCAGAAAAGCCAGGCCGGAGTCCCCTTGCCCGGGACCCCCCCCCCCCCCGGGACCCCCGGGAGGGGCTCCCAGGCCCCGGGACAGCGGCTCGGGGTTTTGCAAGCGCTGCCGAGGCCGGCTGCAGTCCCCCCGTGTCCCCATCCCCACGGGGCCTGGTCGGGTCGGGCCTGGGGGTCCCTCTCGGGCGGTCCCCGGGGGTCTGGGGGGGTGGGGTGGGGGGGAGTCGGAGGCACCAGTGAAAGCGGCGGCCGTGGCCGGGGGTGGCCCAGCGCCGTGCGGTTCAGCCTTGCGGGTTTCCTCCTCCGCAAAATGTCTCCGGCAGAAACTCCGCCGTCTTTTGGGGACGAGGCTCCCCGGCCCTTCCTGCCCCTTCCTCGACACACAGAAATCTGCCAGGAGTCCCGACAACGTCCCTGCGCGCCTGCCCACGGGCCCGATCCCGCTCCGGCTCCCCTCGCACTTATCGGTCAGTTTGGGCAGCGCAGCCGGCGGGAAGCAGCCCCGGCCGCCGCCTCTATTTTATTTTATTTTATTTTATTTGTTGCCGCAGCCCCGTTTCCCCGGTTATTACCTCCACCGCGGCCCCGCTACTATTTTTCTTTTTTTTTCACCCCCCTCCAGGGGCTGGCGCGGAAAAATACCGCGCTCAGCCCCACGGAAGGAAGAAGGCAAACCACGCCGAAAAAGGCGGCCGCTCGGCCGCAGCGCCGAGTCCCCGCGGAGCTCCGCGCCGCCCGCCTTCCCCACGCGCGACTTCCACGCCGCGGCCCCCGCCTGCTCCCCGGGCCCCATCGCCGGGGGCCCCTTCCCGCCAACACCCCCCCCCCCCCCCCGGCTTCCCGGCCCCCGTGGACAAAGGGCGGACCCGGGGGGACGGAATGGAGGGCAGCGGGAAGGAGAAGGCCGCGGGGCTGGCGGGGGGCGGCCGGTGGCAGGTACCGACCGCGGCGGGGCCCTCCCGGCTCTGCCACCCTTTTTCCTCCGCTCCGCATCGCCGGGAGCCCGAGGGAGCGCAGAGGAAATCACTGTCCGATCCATCACCTGTCAGACATTAAATTGGATTGGGTATTTTTTTCCCCCCCCTTTGTTACTGACTCCATCCATATTACAAACTCCGAAAGTCCCATTGGGATTATACGGATCGAGCCGTTCTGTACGAGCGGTTAGTCATGCTTTAAATTCCCCAGTTATGAGGTGCATGGATTTAGGATTAAGGAAAATGTGACTTTTAAGTTGTTTCTGCTTTCCTCGTTGCAGGATTATTTGTTGTAACTGGAAACGGTGTGCAAAGTATTGCATTTAAATCCTCCTTCAATAGACTTGCTTACGCGATTCCGTGCAATTGAGTGACCGGAGTTTCAAACTCTTAAAAAGAAATTATTATGTCGCGCAAGATTGCATAAAGCCCGCGAGAAAAGCAGCACCTTTCAACTCCGCAATGCCCTTTAAACCCAAACCTTCCTCCCCTCCGCACCAGCACCAGAGAGCCGCAGACAACCGCCCGCGCCCCGGCGGGACGAGCCCCCTCCCCGCCGCCGGAGGAGCTGACTCTCCCGGGGCTCGCTGCCCCCGGGCTCCTGCCCCCGGTTCCCGGCGCGGAAAGCCGGGGCGGGCAGCGGGAAAGCGGCTTTTTGGTAAGCCCCCCGGGCCCAAACTCCATCGGGGCAACTCCGAGCCTATATATTCGTTGCCACTCCGGATGGAAACACACACTTCTTTTTTTTTTTTTTAACTAAGGGGGTGGGGGGAGTGCAAACCCAAACCACAACCCCCCCTTCCCCTTCTTCTCCTTCCCCTCCACCTCCCGCCCCCCAGGCCAGGCTGCAGCCCGTCTCGGAAAAGCTGCTCGAAGCCTCCGCCGCGTTATTACCCACTTGTTGATCCCGCCGGCTTGCTCATGCTCGAAGCCCCCGGGAGTCGTTAAACTCGGGGCGAAGTGTCGGCGTCGGGGCGAGGCGGTGCGCTGCCCCCCCCCACCCCCCCACCCCAATCCCCCCCCCCCCCCCGGCACCCCCCTCCGCCGGCGCGGAGGCTCCGCGGGGCAGGTGCCTCCCTCGGGCGCTCACTGCTGGCTCCGCCGCGGGGGCCGGCGCATCCTCGCCGCTGCCCCGCTCCCCGGCGATGTCTTCCCCGAGGGACGGGGACACGCTGCGGGGAGGCGGCAAGGAGGAGAGGAGAGGGGCGGGGAGGGGGGGGGGAATGGGAAAAAAAAAAAAAAAAAAAAAAAAAAAAAAAAAAATGAGCGGAAAAAAAAGAGGGGGAAAAAGAAAAAAAAAAAAAAAAAGAAAAAAAAAAGAAACGAAATGACCCAAAGTCGGCGGCCGCTCGCTGCCCTTCTGGGAGCAGATGCTCGCGGGACCCCGGGAGGGTGCAGGGGGGTGCGAGTGGGCTCGCCACCGCGCTCCTGGAAGGCAAGCGAGAGCCACAGCAGCCAGGACAACAATGAGGCAAAGGAGAAGGTAGGATGGAGAGCGGGGCTCTGCGCCGAGCGCCTCGGTGCAGCGAGCAGGGAGATCAGAGCCTGGAAAAATAATGGAAGGGGGGAAAAGGCGTCAGAGGAGGCTGTCTCTGCCTCTCAGAAACTGAATGGTATAAAAAGGGAAAGGTTTCCAGAAGTTCATTACACTGGCTGACTTTGCGCTTTGAGCTCCAGGCTTCGGCCCCTATAATATCGGCAGAGAGGCTGTGACAGGCAGCGGCGGGGAGGGGAGAGGGACGCCCCTTGCCCACTGAGCTTCCCTTGCTTTCCCCCCAACTCCTGCCGCCGCGTGACGTCACCCTGCGCTGGGAAGGGGAGGGGGCAGGGAGGGGGTTAAATGCTAATGATATTAATGAACATTCCCCCCCCCCCCCCCCCCCCCGAGCGGCTTCCACACAAAATGCAGCGGCTGCCGAGATGATTCCGCCTCCTCGCTCGCCTTGTGCCCTCGCTGTCATAAAAAGGGACAACCACCCCCCCCAAAAAAAAAAAAAAAAAAAAAAAAAAGGAGACAAAAGAAAAGCAGAAAGAACGGATCAAGATCCCGTTTCTTTTGCATTTTCCCTTGGCGAGGTGGGGCCCGCCTGCGGTTCGCCCTTGCCCTTGCCCCGGCCTGGGCAGCGGCTGTGCCGGCGGGGCCGGAGAGACGAGCCGAGCCGAGCCGAGCCGAGCCGAGCTGAGCCGAGCCGAGCCGGGCCAAGCCGAGCCGAGCCGGGCTGTCAGCCTTCCCGCTGGGCGGCCGGACCCCGCTGCGGGAGCCCGGCGGGGAGTGCAGGGGGGAGCGGGGCGGGAGGGTTGTTTTTCGCCCTCGGGAGAAGCGGGGATGGCTTTGCCCTGCCCCAACCTGGCAAAACTCCGCGTCTCCCCGCGCCCGGAGCCGGGGTCGCCTCCCTCCCGCTCAGCCGAGCCGGCCCCGCCGGGCAGGGGGGGGCCCCCGCCGGGCTCAGCCCCGCTTCCCGGCGCCGGGACTTGTTGCACGGCGGCCGTGCGAGAGGAGCACGCCCGCAGGCGGGGGTCACTCCTCCTGACCCCTCACACCGGGCCCGGCGGGCGGGCACCCACCGCCCCGGCCCCCGAGGGGGGCTGCAGAGGGTCCCGCCTGCCCCGCAGCATTGCCCTGACACCCCCCCCCCGCACCGGGCACCGCCGATCTCGCCAGCGCCTCGGCAGCCCGCTGCCCCCGAGGGTCCCAGCAGCGCTGCCAGGGCCCGGGGGGCGCGGCAAGGGGCCAGAGGTGGGACCCCTTCCCAATTCGGCAGCTCTGGTTTCGCCGAGAGGCTGCCGGGCTCTCCCACTCCTGTTGGAAACTCTCTGGCGGTGGTAGAGCAGCCCAAGGGGGGGGAGAGGTGCCCATCTGGGAAGGGAGGAAAGAGCATCTCTTCTGGGGATGCAAGCTGCGGTGGGCAGCGGCACCAGAGAGCAGGGGCAGCAATTGCTGAGCAGCTTGTGAAGCCCTCGAATGTCTCTTGGTCCTTGCTTTTTTATCCCTGCCGCTGGTGAGAGGTGTGAATGTACCACAACTGACTTCCCCCTTGCTGGCTGTGATCCTGGGGGCAAGTGGTGCTCAGCCCAGCCCCAAACCCGCTGTCCCTGTCCTACTGCACTTCATGTTTCGTTCTTCCACCCTTCTGTCTCAAGTCGTGGGTGATCCCTCTTGTGCCTATACCGTACCTGTATCGCAGGGCTGCATGACTCTGGACGGCACTGGGATCCCTGTGACCTCCTGCTCTTTACTCTCTGTGGGACCAGTGCATCCATGGCACAGAAGCAAGCCTTGAATCAGGACAAGCCTGGTCCTGCCTAACGCTGAGGGACACTGTCCAGAGGGCTGGGAAGTTGCTCAGGGAGATCGCAGAAAGCAAACTGGTGGATCAGGGAACGCGAACAAATTTTCACTCTAAATCTGCTTCCAGGGAGGCAGGGAAAAGTTCACCTCCTTGAGCAATGTTCTGAGCAACAGGGAAGGAGACGGCCATGCTACATTAGCAGGGCCTGGAGACCAAAACAGACAGAAAGGGTTGAATAGAAGCAGGGCCCAAACCTGTCCCTGGGCAACCCCCGCGCTAGTGAGGCAGATCTCCAGCCCTACAGTAGCCACAGTTGTTTGCCCTGTAAAGTCAAAGCCACTTGAAAAACACTGCAAAGGTTGGTCAGACTGTGTTCACAGGTTCCTGCCTCATCTGAGACAGTCTGCTCTGAATGCGAGCAGGTCTCTCCCTCCCATGTACAACACCAGGCTCTACTGAGAGAGAAAAAGAAGAGTTCAAACTACCTACCTCTACACCCAGAACTCCACTAACATAACCCAGACACCCAAAGCTGGCTCTGCATGTGGGCTGGGGCTGCAGGTCGCTGAGGAGGGAGCAAACCATCAGTCCTTCCCTGTCCCCTGAGCTGTGCCTGGTGCTGCTTTGCAGTCCTGCACCAGCTGAGGTTTGTCTTCTGTCTCTTCAGAACCTTTCCTGCAGTTTCTGTGACGGACAGAGATATCTCAGCCCTGAAAGTGAAAGCAGGATGCATCCTCAAAGGGTACAGGGATGAGCTCTCTCCACGCTCCAGCTTTTCACTGCAGCTTCTATCAAAGCTTTTTCCATGGTCATTTGGTGGAAAAGTAGTCCAGTTCCAATAAAGCAGGAAAATATAGTTAACATTTAGTATTTATCATTATTACCATTATTGTCCTGGTTTCGGCTTGGACAAAGTTAATTTTCTTCCTAGTAGCTGGCATAGTGCTGTGTTTTGGACTTAGGATGAGAATAATGTCGATAGCACACTGATGTTTTAGTTGTTGCTGAGCAGTGCTTACACTGTCAAGGACTTTTCAGCTTCTCATGCTGCCCTGCCAGTGAGGAGGTTGGGGGTGCACGAGAAACTGTGAGGGGACACAAACAGGACAGATGACCCCAGCTGACTAAAGGGATATTCCACAGCATATGATGTCATGCAGAACAAAAAAACTGGGGGATTTGACCGGGGGTTGGCATCCCGCTTCTTGGGGACTGGCTGGGCATCAGTCAGCAGGTGGTGAGCAATTGTGCATCACTTGTTTTGTATATTCTTTTGTCGTTATTATTATTTTCCCTTCCTTTTCTGTCCTATTAAACTGTCTTTATCTAAAGTCACAAGTTTTACCTTTTTTCCGATTCTCTCCACCATCCCACTGTGGGGGGAGTGATTGAACAGCTCTGTGGTGTTCAGCTGCCTGCCAGCTTAAACCACACCAAGTATATTTAGCATTTTGTTTATTAGGCAGTCCAACATATACAAACGATGCTAATATAGTAATGAAATTTACTGTCTTCTCATAATGCCTTGGAAGTACAAATAGTTATCAATCCTGCTAGAGAAGCTGGCCTGTGTTCCCTTTTTGCTATATGTCTTTCGGGAGTCTGGATTATCACTACAATTACATGGTGACATTTTTCAGTGTTGTGCCACGGTCTCTTACCAGGTATCTTTTCTTCTGTTGGAGTCTTAGCAGCAAAAAAAAAAAATTCCAGTGTGTGGCCCATCTTCAAGTACACTGCTCGTTCTGATTTTTCCTTGCTCACCTTCTCTGTTTTTTGGATCCAAAAGATCTCCACTGAGCACAAAAAAAGGAAAAAGAAAAAAGCGAAGGAGGTCAGGCAAGGGAAAAATTTAAGCTGGCAGAGGTGTATGAATGTAGCAGCAGAATATACTGACGTGCTGTTCTCATCTGTTTCTCTCAATGGGAAGCAGGTGGGTAAGGTCAGGCAAATCTAACATACCCATTTTCTCAGAGAGGTGATAAGGAAGGAAAGGATAGAGCTGTTCTCTGATGGGAGGAGGAGCTGCTGTTGCTTTGGGATGCTTGAGAAGCTATCTCCACTCCCCTCCTTTGGTGCATGGGCCAGGGAAGAGCCTTTTGGTAGCACAGGCAGCCACGTGCAGGGAAGTCACCACGGCAGCACCCTTGCAGCGTAAATACCCACTGTGTTTCTAAATCCCCCCTGAAGTCTGAGGCGCCTTCCTTTCTTCGTAGGTCGCCGTCCACACTTTTGAGGCACCGCCACAAATCCCTTTCTGCATCCACCTGCCTGCAGATGGACAGACAGTGGCACCACAACGGCCGCTGAAGGGGCCGTGCTGTGACGAAGCGTGGCTGTGCTTGACTCCCAGCTCGGGCTGCTCCTCGTGCAGGTGGTGGAGATGCACCCAACAAACTCTTTTGTGGTATCGAGTCTTCCTTGTGAAGCCCCTGCCTCACGGACATCTTCCCTGGAGGGCCCTGCACCCAGCAATGGCAGTGTTGGCCTTCCCCCTGCCCTGCCTGGGCCATCGCACCCAACATGGCTGCCGCCGGGGGCTGAGGACACTGCATGGCGACTGCCCTGGCGGCCATCTTGATGCCGCCTCATGGATGCCCTGGGGCTGGGCACCTTCCAGGGCTGCAGGGCTGTGCTGAGAGACCTGGCTAATTAAACAAACAAACAAACATACATCACAGCTCTGTGCTGTGAGTTTTCTCCAGGCGGGGCAAGAAAAAGCTTTTTTCCAAAATGTGAAAATCCAAGGCACAGGAAGATGACCCGACTAAAAAGACTGTCCTGTG